GTAAAAAGTAGCCTATGTCACTCTCCAACTATCTCCACACAAAAAATCACGCTAATCCGTCACTCCGGTTCGATGTGAAAGAAGGAAACAAACAAACACACTTTCACATTTATGATATTAGTATGGATTACGCTTATGACACAAAAGTGTTCATTTTATTAATAGTAATTAAGTAATAAGTATCTACTTATATATTTTCTTATGCGATTTGCTACTAGCAATACCAACTTAAATATTAATTGCCGTTGCTGTAATTCTAGCTGTTCTACTGTAATTTAATAATTAACATAACTTATCTATACTTATCACTACTTTCCACCCCAATTTAACTTATTTTTGGGGAACATATATACATAATATAAGAAACTGTGGTTAATGCTGTGTACTGTTTATCAGTCAGTGAATTTGAGATTTTTTAAAGTATATTATGAAACGTGTTTGCCGGAATGCATTAGAAATTCTCTGATTTTATATTTCAGTTCTATTTTGATGTAAACCTTCATTTAATAGTCAAGGAAGTAGAAATGAAACGTATACTAAGATACTTTGGTCAGGATTTATGGACGATCCAACACACGCATTTCGTATTGAGGAACTAAATAATATTCAGGTTCAAGTGCAGTGATAAATAAAGTTTAAGATTTCGATTTGATTTGAAAAAAAAATACTAATCGTTTTTATCTTACAAAATTTGTATGAATATGATTCAAATATCTGTGTTTTAAATTATTGCATATTCCTGGGATTCAAACGCCACCTGCGTTATATTTAAATTATTCTATATCATCACATCTTGAAACCAGTTTAATATTTTTGTTTGTATTAACTGTCTAAGCTTAAAAACTGATTTATCTTGGAAATTCGCTGGAAGAATAACTACATACATACATACATGTCAAACTATAAAGAGTCTGACAGGTTCCTCAAAACAAGTACTCGTAGGTTTACATACGTGTCGTTTACATATTATATGGGATATATTGTGTGTATTTGATACCTGATCAATATTAAGATTTGGAATAATGTCAAATGAACAGTAAAGCAGTAGAATTAAAATAATTATATTCGCTTAAATCGCTGAATCATAAAATAATCCGAGTGCGTATAACTTGAACCTATTTAAGGTGCGTGGTAACAGGCTTCTCCTGGGCAAACTCGCTAGATCGTAGACCTTATCTGTGCCTTTCGAGCTAATATGAAGGTCAAGAGTGAGCCCATTTCTAATAAAAAAAATAAAAAAATAATAATCAAAAATAATAAAATTGCCTGAAAAGATTTATTAAAAAATTGCAGTTCAGATAAATATCAGTTCGTGGATGGTACATCTTTTATAAATGTCAAGGACTTAGATACATATATAAAATATATGTCACCCAAAAATTGACTTTCACTGCTCTGATGTAATAATGTGATATTAATTAACCGGGATTAATGTTTAAAGACGCAATGCCAATTTAGGAGTAGGTTAAGGTTCTCACTGTCGACGACGAGGAAGTTATACTTTATAATATTACCTTGGTTTACCTTTAACCAAATGTTTCGTACTTGCCTTGAAATGAAAGGGCTATTTTTTTAGCAGCATTAATTATTTTGTAATATTTGATTTGCGATAATCCTGTATTATGAATAAAAGGATCGTTTTAGTCTATAAAATAATATAACTCTTCAAATTCCCTTCAAAGAACGCCCTCGAGTGAGCTAAATAAACCTAAAATTAAAGTGGAATTGGTCCATTGTTATTGCCAAACGATTCGAAAAACATACGATTAAGAACCTGTTTTATAGCCAAAGCTGGGTTGAAAGCTAAATTAGGATTGTGACTGAATTAGCTTACTATTTTACGTAGCTCTTAGTATATATAACTCGATATCTAGTTCCCAAGTTTGCAGTTGAGTGAAGTTGTGCATAGAACATTCTAGGATCCAGTTACATTGCAAATGGAAACTCAAATAGAGCGTCGCGTTCTAGCGGATTTTCACTTACAAGCATTATTTATTACGTATAAAATAATGTGCATTTTTTTTAATATATTTCTGCGATTCTATAGATTTATTGGCAGTGGTAGCGCGTTCGCTTGGGAAACCGAGTGAAGCGGGTTCAAATCCCGGATCTGATATCTTCATGTGCGAATCATTTCTACCATGATTACCACTTGCCTTACGGTGAAGGAAAACATCGTGAGGAAACCTGCATGTCTGAGAAAAACTAGCAAGTTTTCGAAAGACATGTGAAGTCCGCCAACCCGCACTTGGCCAGCGTGGTGGACTATGGCCTGATCCCCCTCGTGTTGAAGGGAGACTCGTGCCCAGCAGTGAGACTTTAAAAAGGGCTGAATATATAGATTTATTGAGAATCTATTTCTTATATTCATGTGATACTTCTTATTTGCCTTTTTTGGATTAAATGTCTGAAAATCAATTAGCGGACACTTAGTGTTAGATATTCTACCACATTAGAAGCGTGTATGCTCTAAATTACTTAAAAGCCTGCACCGCTATTATTTTCATATTGTTTCATTCATTGGTGAATTTGTGGGCGCGGATTTGATACTAAGGCATTTGACACTATTGTACTAACATATTTCGAGAAGGCACTGTGATATCATACAACCTTCATTTCGTACTTTGTATAACATACATTTTAAAGGCATAGTGACGCACGATGTAAATCCAACAGTAACAAGATAAGGATGTTTATACGATTTCAATTAATGTAAAATTGGCTAGCAACTATGTAATAATGAAAACATTAACATAACAAGTTTTTATAATATTTTAGGCGTCAGACTTTCTGGGCTGACCTTTTGTCGATGGAACTGGTTCCATTATAATGTGCAAGTTGCGTAAAGTGTGCGAATGAATGTTGCCAGCCCCTTCAAGATATAATAAAATGATAATTAATTTTTTTGTGTATTAAAAATATTTTTATATCTTTTCGTTTTTATTACATTTTACTTATACACCTGTTCTGAGAACTCGATAAATATCACAAGGAAATATTTTTTCTAATTACCGAAAAAATCCTCGGTGTTATAGACTAATACCTACTGCACACATGAAATGTAATAATTTTTAATGAGTATGGACAAGTTTATCAAATTTGATATAATATAAAACAATTTTTTAACTTACTCTTGGCTTTATGGTGGAAAATAGAAATTTCATGGTGAAAGATAGGGAGCAGTGGAAGAAGCCATAGCCCTACAGTGGGACACAACAGGTTTATAATAATAATATTTTATACTGTTTGTAGACATGTGATTCGGAAACAAAGTTTTAAGATTACATATCTTTCTCATAATATCCAATTAATTTTGCGAATCAACCTCCGCGGTCGTTCAGTACAGTATTATTATCCTTTACATCGACCTTATTGAATCGTAATATTTCATCATTATCTCTCCAGCCTTTCGTGGTCATATTACCTCAACTGTCGCGAAAAGGTCGTTTTGTTTACTTACACATTTTGTTTATTACATGCCTCCCATATTTTATTTCTTTAAAAATTTTGCTTATCAGAACTATAAAATGTTGACTCATCCACAACCTACTATTGTTCCATGTTTTTTCATTTGGTTCATAAAAAGAATATCTTACTTTAAGTTGAAATGTTATAAAATTCTGATATAATAAGTATCTTATGAAATATATATTTACCTTTTAACATATTATAATTTCATAAATTATAAAATATTAAAGTATGAAAAGAGTTTCACACATAAATTATTAAAAAATCTACATATATACATATATCTGTGACATTAAATATTTTATTCTAGGATTACGAACATAATTCGGTACTTCTAAATCTAATTCCAAGGTCAGAAGTATAATCGGCAGACGGAAGAGACTAATACATGCCACTCGATGAGTTTGCTTGTGTATATGACTAAATTGCCACAGGAACATGCATTATGCTAATAATCTTAATGTTGTACAGTTATTTACTATTTGAGATTAAACTCTTTGGTAATGTGCTATTAGCGTGTCGAATATAATATAAACATGCCAATATATATTTACTATTTAGTAATTTTTATAATTTTACGATCTATTCCTTGCAAATTTTTATCAAATAATTAGCTTTACAGCAATCATGGTCACTCTCCCGTGACCATGGGTGCTGTAAAGCATTCGAAACGTCGGGAACCAAAAATCAAAATAAATCCGCGAAATAATCTGTAAAGATAGTTTTTAAAATTTAAATTAATACTTATATGAACTAATCTTAAATTAATTCATTTAAAAATCCATTGATACTCATGTCTATAAAGAGAATATCAAGTTTAACGAATATGTAATATGTACAAAAACTTCATTTTTCTCTTTTGTTGTATAAATCTTTCTTCAATTATTACTGGAAGTTAAGAGACCGGTAGCCGTTTGTTTATTAGGCAAGAAAGCATATTGAAATAAACGCTTACAAAAAAAACGTTAGTAAATTTTAGTGCAATATTTTCATATTGCCTGCGACATGCCTCCTGTGAAGATAATATGACGGCATTTGCACAAACGGCTAACAATCTTCTTCCTGTCTCTAACATTGAACTACTTCTGGTCGAACGCCGGCCAAGTGCACCGAGGATGTTATTACGTCGCTACAAATAGAAACTGATTTCAAATCGTACTCCTACTTGTTGTGCGGTTTAACCCCAGCTGTTGGTGTTTTCCGTTGAAAATATATATTTTTCAATTTGGACCATATATTAATTATTTTTTTATACGTTTAATTTTAATTTAACTGGACTTTCTATAAGATTCAGTGACTAAATCTAACTAAAAGAACTGGATAATTTTTTTTGTAACTGAATAACTAAATTTCTGTTATTATTTAACATTCGATAAAAATGAGTGACGTTAATTTGATGTAGATTGTTTACGATTTTGCGGCTGTAATTTAATACGAGATGTCATAACTAATAAAATTACCTAAAGCGATTGAAGACGTGACTTAAAAACAGAGTAAAGGAAAATATTAACTTGTTATCTTTTTCATTTCAGGTGGTGTCTAAACGACAGGATGGCGTGGCTTCCTATGTATACCTATCTTCTTGCGGGATCCTTACTCCTAGCGCCAGCTTTGGCAGCCATCTGTCCTAATAGCTGCGTATGCAGCACAACGCGGGATGGCCTTCATCGTGTGACTTGCAGTAATATCGCTGAAATCTACAAATATACTCTCCAACAAAAGCATCATAACATTAACATTCTTGATCTCTCCCATAACAATATCACTAAAATCACCCATGAACTGGATAAACTTACTGAAGTCGTTACACTTGATCTGTCTACTAATGGTCTTACTGAAATAAATAAATTTTTACATAATGCAAAAAAGTTGGTTCATTTGAATTTAGCACATAACAGAATAGAAAAACTCTCATTGACGCACTTGCCAACAAGCATTAGCTCATTAGACTTAACTGGAAATCTGTTAAAAGATGTACCGTCAGATTTGTCTCATCTCCCATATTTAGAGCATTTAGAACTAGATGGTAACCCATTAGATTGCTCATGTAATAATATAATTATTCGAAATCGGCTACTGGCATTGAAGATATACATTGATAGTGCAAAATGCCATACTCCAGATTACGTTAAAGGCCGATCGTGGTTAGAGCTAAAAACGAAAAATATCTGCAAAGCCTCTAAAATAGAGTTGTTGGATATGCCTATGGGTGATCAACCAATGGATGCTGTGCAAATAGGGGAAGAGACTTCTGCTCTGAAATCAATGGCTTTAGTAGCTGCCAATGATCTTGACGATGGTAAAATAATATACGGTGCTGATAACATTGTTGATGACGATAGTTCGCAATTTATAAAAGTAGGTCAATTTTCAACACCCTCGCCTATTACTGAAATAGAAGGATCTGGAGAAGCAGAGAGCACAACTATCAGTGACGTTATAGAACCAATTGAAGAACGTAAAGTCTATGACAGCTTACTTGCCAATGAGGATATTTTACCAGCAGATAATTATCAAACAACAGAAGATCCTATTGAAGGTTCCGGAGAAGGATCTGGGTTTGGTCTAATTCCCGAGTTTGATCAAACAAAAACGATTACTGAAACCACCACTCCAGTGATGGACGAATTAAGTCCTGATCCCATAGAAAGAATATTTAAAGATGATGAGAATTCTACAGATTTAGAATTTCCCATTCCTAAACCGCCAACTATATATCAAGGTGGGCCTGATTGGCATAGTAAAACAGATGTTGAACCAGTTACTGTCATTTCTGCCACTCCAGAAATGACAAGAGATACGACAGTTTCAGAACAAATCCGAGTTACACATCTTTCAGAGGTCCTTGGTCAAGCACCACCAGCTGAAGAGAAAGCACCTCATAAAACTGGCACGTATGTGTGTGTAGCACTGATAGTTGTTCTGCTAGTTGGTCTTATAGGTTTTGCTATAGCTAAAGGTCAAATGAGAAAGCGTAGAGATCGAAGACTTCTACGACAGCAAAAAAGGGATATCGAAAGGGCTTCAAAGGAAATGGTAGATATGAATAAATCCTTATTAGGTAAACCTGCAGCTATAGAAAACTCTGCTGAAAGAAAACTTAACGGAAAATATGAACTTGTACCTACACACGAGGCACATTCAAAAAAAAGTGAAAATGGTGATGTGGGTAATGGTATAAAGCGTGCTGAAAATGAAACCCAGAGAACTGATAGTCCTCGAGACACAAATCAAAATAAAAGCAGTTCAATAGATAACAATTTAGCAAACGAAAGTCAAGTACCAGCACAGGAGACATCATTTGAATCAGATCTAGGAGCCAATAATTCTAGGAAGGATACAAATTCTTTATCCAGTGAAGATATTTTTGTTCCAATTAACGATGATGATGGCCCTAGGATAAATGGTAACAGAGATTCAGATGTATCCCAGCCTCTGATAAACGGAGATCCAAATATCGATTCCGACTATTTGTCACCATCGCGTGAATATGTGCCTGTATATTCACCCGATATGGGACGCGTTCGGATTAAAATGTCAGAGACTCCAAAACCTAAGACACCAGTACTAGTTACCAGAAGTAGGTCGAATGCCGGCGATATAATCATTACACCTTCACTGGACGGAACCGCGTCTAAATCGACTACTTGAAATTTAGCCTTATTAAACAGGATAAAAACAATTTGTATATATCAGTGTCAATTTGCAAACAGTTCACTATTGGCAAAGATCTGTGATTTAGTGTGCGTACGTGAAGGAACAGTTGCATGTGAAACTATGAAGATTTTGACTGTATTAAGTACTGCCAAAGTGTGTTTGTAATTTGTGCCTTTATAATTTGTTAGTGGTTAAAATATATTTATGAAAGCATATTGTGCGATAAGTAAAATATTTTTATACGTATAAAAATGTTGCCATGTTCATTATAGATGTTAAAGTTTAAAGCGTTATTTAAATCATCGTTAAAATCTGTTTATGGTAACACAAATTGTACAATCTTATGCTGTATAAGCTCGGTCTTTGGTTATTTTGGGTACAATTGTGAGTCGTCAGTGGTTGTGTACTTACTTGTCTCATCCTAAAATGTTACTTGAAAGCAATTTCGAACAACGAATAGTTCAACTGGGTGTTGTCTATAATCTTCTAAACTACTTTAGAGAGATTTACTATTGTCGGTCTATCATAAGTTCCTTATGAGTAGTTTTATTAAATTATTAGTTCTATAAGATTGTGATACCATTTATTTTAAGTAATTCGTGTTATCAAATTTATATGTATGCAGGAAAATAATTATTACATTGTATATTTGTTTAGGTAGTTTTATTTGAAATTATTTTACATTGTAATTAAGAAATATGTATTTTAATAATGTATCACTTTGCTTTTGCTGACTTCTTTTACTTATATTTTCATTATTTATGGACTTTATATTTTTTTAGAAACGAACTTCCATCAATGCTATGAATCGAAACAGAGAACAGTAAAGTATTTCAATGTTAAGAGATTTATAATTCTTGTAATTTTACTTCTAAAGACATAAAGCGTTAATTGAACTATTGTGTTTTATATCCCCCAATCTTTTTCATGAATAAATAAAATTAGACAAGCTTTTTAAAATTAAACAGGCTTAATTTAATAAAAAAACCCCGTCTGCGTACCTACATTCACGTTGCAAGACTCGCAGCAAGTAAATAGCATGTGTATCTCCGATTGCATAACACCATGTTACTTTGTTAATAAATAATGTTCTCATCTTTTTGTTTCGCTTTTTATTTTGAACGAAGTACATACCTAATCAAATATTTTCGAAGTCGGTGTGCTTTGGCTAAGTAAATCAAGCCTACCTATTAAATACATACCTAATCAAATATTTTCGAAATCGGTGCCAGCCCATACAAAGCAAAGCACACCGACTTCGAAAATATTTGATTAGGTATGTATAGTAAATGAAAACTACCAATCAGTCATTTTTTACTTTTTAGTGCTTTTTTTTGAAGTCGGTTTTTATTTTTTTGTTAAAAAGTTTTTTTTATTAACAGCTTATTCGCCTTGACGAGTTAGACATTAGAGTGTTATTTATCAATTATAGTCCAAAATTAATAAGTTGTGTATATTTTTGTTGTTGCCTCTTAAAAACCTTTATTTTGAAACCCGACTCGGTAACATTTTTTTTATATCGAGTTACATTTTTTTAATATAACATCATCAAAATGGGTTAAACTGTTTAGTTGGTACGGTGGAACAAAAGATCAGATATACATATACAGATCAAACACCATAACCCTCCTTTGGGCTTCACCGCAGTCTAGTCAGCATTACTTTATGAAGTCAGTGAAGGTACCTTTTTTTAAAAAAAAAACTAATTATTCATGTCGTTAAATCGGCCACCATATACGAGAATTATTTTATAATAATTTAATTTTTAGCTTAATCTTAATACAGTAAAGTTGATATTTTATTTTAAAGGGAAATTTTATGTAGGTACAATAAAGTTGTAGAGGGATCGAACATGTAAAATAATTTTAATTTTAGAACATCTTATTGAGCAAGAAAATAATTACCTATAAAATTTCAAGCACTTTGAAGTGAAACTTCTTTAGAATCTTTGAAAGAACTAAAAAAACTTCTTTAAAAGATTTGAAACTCGATGAAACGGAAATGCAACACTAAAAAGAGTCACACACATAAATATATAGGATTAAGCCGGCGAGAGAATGAGATAGAATACATTGCCATGTTGCCATGGTAACCGTTGTTATTGTCTGACAAATATATAATACGTATTATATTCTTTCTGTATTTTATATTCTATAAATATACCATATGATACGAATATGCCTAATATCCTTTTTTTATTTATTTGAGATAATAAAATTAATTAGTAAATAATATGTAATGTATATTTATGTCAAATAAAGTGTATTAAAAAAATAAACCTTATAATTAACCTATTCCTGATACTCTATATTCTACTCATTCTCTTGGAGGTTACTTTTCTGAAATTCCACTTCTACCATGTGTGAATTGCACACAAACACACATTTTTTTTAAATGTTTGTCTGTCAGTTTCTTAAGAAAATTCTTACGATAAAATTCTAACAATATTAATTATTAAATTGAAAATCGCATGGGGGAAAAAACGGTGCGACTCTTTTGTTAACTAGACAAGGAGGGCTAGATGATATAAATTACGCTTTTTATTATGGAAAAAATTTCCTACTACACGATATTTTCAAAATATATACTCTAAAGATTAATGATTTTAAAACCTTTATGTTGCAACCTTTGGATTGATAGCTAACTTACATATATGCTCAATTTCTATCATCATTATATTCCATTCCATATTTTTATGGGATGCAACTTACCGACTCCGAGCCGCTAATGAGAATTTCTTGTAGAAAGAACACAAGAACCTAAGCAGTTATACGAGAAGTTACACCGATCGACCTATGCATTGCATAGGTTTTATAAGAGATAGAAGCTATTATTCCTCTATTTTTATTCCATATCTAATACAAATTAACACGATTATACCAAATCTATACCTATAATAAAATTGTAACCAAGCCGAATCTGTACATTAAATATTTTTTGGAAAACCTTATTGAAATAAACATTATTATCGATACAGAGGCCGAATCTATAGATTTTAGAATTTTTGTCTGTCTGCCTGTCTGTCTGTCTGTTTGTCTGCTACCGCATCACAAAAAAACCACTGGAGGGATTTTGATGAAATTTGGTATGGTGATAGCTGGTTATCCGGGTCAACATATAGGATACTTTTTACCGCGGGAAAATATCTCATTTCTGAGAAAAAATACAAAAACAGCAATGTAAGTATACTAATATGTAAAACCTAAGAATTTGGTATTTGGACATCTTAACGCGGGCGAAGGCGCGGGCAATGCTAGTAAATTATATATTATAATTATATACCGATTAGCGTCTCACTCTCGCTTCGCTTCGTTTTCGTCTCTAGACAAAAACAAATCTATCGCACAAGAAGTGCACATTTTTCCGGGATAAAAAGTAACCTATGCGTCCAAATTTCGTCCAGATCCGTTTCAATCCGATCCGATACCGTTCTGACATGAAAGAGAAACAAATATCCATGAATCCATTCATCCTCACAAACTTTCACATTTATATATTCTTTTATTCATTTATATAGATGAATTACTTGCACTAAACCAAATGATTTATTTACTTATACTTACAATGACCAAAGATTTTATAAATTCATTTAATTAAAAAACAAGAATAGTTGTTTTTATTTCTATGCTAATAACTGTTCTCTTTAGTATTCAAAAAATTATATTATCAGTGTCTATTTGCAATACAATGCCATGAACATTAGTGAATTAAAAACATTGCCTTTAAACACCAACGCCTTTAGAAAAAAATTAAGCAAAAAAACTTGAAATGGTATTCTTTTGTATTTTATACTTTCATTTTCATTTCCTTGAGACCCTTGAATACAATACACAATAAACGTATAGAATAATAAGGTTGTCTGTAATATCTGTAGACTGTAGACAATATAGATTGTCTAAAATAAGTATACACTCACTGACTGATTTGTTACGAAATCTCAAAAACTATCTAGCTATATGATTCAAGTGAACGAAGCAGCGGGTACGGGATAGTTTTTTATAATACTCAATTTAACATTAAATGAGACAAAATGACACAAAGATATAAGTTATGATCTACTAGCGAATTTTTTTTTGTGCGGAACCCTAATTTGTTTTACGAAATAAAAGTAGCTTAAGTTACTCCTTATAACATCAACTACCTGTTAGTGTTATTCCCGTCAAAATCGGCCCCGCCGTTTCGGAGATAAGTCGGAACAAACAGACAGACAAAAAATTTAAAATTTGTGTTTTTCTTATAAATACCGTATATAATTCCTTACGCATTTAGTAAAAAGCTGTTATTTTGACTAGAGCGGAAAAATAAAAAAATGTCGAGATAAAAAAGTACTTATTAAAAAAACTTTGTTTATTATGTTTTTCGTTTAATTATATATGTGTACACTACACACTATTGTATTTAAATACATATATAAATAATATATATTTTCATTACTGGGATTTTTAAAAAACTAAAAGGCTATCATATTAACTATGTATTTACATTAATTATGCATATTTCCTATCTTAAATTTGATAGTCCTAAAATATTTAACAAGTATCTTTATCAAAAATCACTTTCTCTAGGCAGACTATCATCAGAAAAACGTCTATTTCTAGGACGCAGTGGTCTTGATAATTCAGCTTCAACTTCAACAGTCACACTATCATCTGTGGCATATGACATTCTTCTTCGTCTTGCTCCAGGGCTTTGATCTAATTCAGCTATTTCATGACTACCATATCTACGATTGCGACGGCGTCTTCGCCTATCCTGACTATCTGGGGTTTCTGTAAGCTCTATGTTATCAACAACTGGTGTGTCACCATGCCTTTCAGTTTCCTCCAGTAGGTCTCCACTTGATTTAGTTTTTCTTCTGCCTCTTCTCCGCTTAGTTTTACCTGTTCCAGTCTCATTTAGAGAATGACAAGAGACATTTAGTTTAGGCATAGAGAGAGCTTCATCGTAAGAAGGTGGGGCTATCAAGTCTCTTGGATCTGGTGTATTACACAAAGCTTCTTGTTCAGCTCGTATTCTCATCTGCCTAAGTCTATCTCTTGCTTCTTCTACTTGTCGTTCTCGTTCTGCTTGCATTGCTGCTAAACGCTTATTCAATGACCTCCTTACTGTATTGACAAGAAATATGCAAAGTGATAAACCAACAATCATGACTATTATGAACCATACCAAATTGTCAAGGTTTCTTGCCCTTTCATTTGGATTCCAAGTGAAATAACATGCTTCTATCCAAGTTTGTCCTATTACATTTATTGGACTATTGCAAATAAGGTTGAACGACTCTTCTTTTTTATTTGGTTCTAATGTTATAAATTCATAAAAATCATACATATTTTCATCGGAACAATCGCACCTCCACATGTTGTCAGCTAAATCTAACCTTTCCAAATAAAGATTAGATTCGAAATAAGTTCTGCTCCAAATATTTGTAAATCGATTTCCAATCACACTTAAACTAGAAAGTCTAGGAAGCATAAATAATGTATAATTATTTAAAGAACTAATTCTATTATAATTTAAGTTTAAATATTTGAGTGTATTCGATGAGATACTGTCTGGAATATGTGATAAAATATTGTGTGATAAATCTATATCCACGAGTGACGGTAGACCTTCCAATGAATCTTTACCAATTCTGCTAATTTCACAAGAGCTCATATCAAGTATTGATATGGAAGTAGACTTCAAATGACCAACTCTATTAAGGTAGTTTCTAGCTAGTTTTACATTCGTCAGAGCTGGCATTTCTGAAAAGCTTTCTTCAGGTATATCAGCTATTTCGTTCCAAGATAAATCTAAATATTTTAACATATTTAGTCCCCGAAAAGTATCACTTTTCATAGAACCTATATTATTGTATGACATATCTAAATACTCTAATTTGGTATTATTTATAAATTCATGGCTCCTTAGGAATCTAATATGATTGTTTCTTATGATAGCCTTTCTTAAATTTGGAAATCCAGACAAATTTGGTCTAAAAACATTACAATATGACACGTCCAAGAACTTTAGGGAATTCGACAAAATTTCTTTCGACACAGTAGGAAGGTCTAAGCGATAGTTATATGATATTTTTAAATACAATAAAGAAGGTAAATATGAAAATTCATTATAACTTATGTAGCTTAATTGACAGTTGCTTACGTAAAGACTCTTTAAAGTAGGCGAGATAAGATTTTGAATTCTTATTAAAGGATTATTGTTAATTTTTAGAATTCTTATACTACTAAGTCCACTAAGAGGTGATCTTCCATGTATTGAATCTATTTGGCAGTTGTCTAGAATCAATGTTTCTAATGAAGGACTGATTAAAAGCTCTTCGTTAGCTAAATTACCTAAAGTTTTAAACTTATTATTAGATAAGTCCAATATTTTTAGATTGTTTGCCGGTTTTAAAAGTTCATTTGGATTTAAACTAGTCCAAGATTCAAAATTATTTCTTGAAAGATTTAAGATTTCAAGTAATGTCAGGTTTTGTAAAGCATCTTCTGGCAATTCGCTCAATCTGTTTCTGCTCACGTCCAAAGATACTAGGTTATAGAGATTATTTACATTGTTAGGAAATGATGTGAAGTCGTTATTTGAGATATTAAGTGTAGTAACCTGTAAAAAAAATATTATATATTGAAAAAGAAACACATTTAAATTAAAATTTCATGAATTACAATTAGCAATTTAAGCGTACCAACCTTGCTGTTGATGCCATCAGGAAGATTAGTTAACCCTCTCTTAGAGCAATCTATGGCTGTCGCATCTGTGTTACAAGAACACAAATAGCAAATTTCGCTTGTGTGCTCATCGAAATCCAATAGTTCCGCCTTCGTAATAAGAAAGAGCCCGAGAAGCCCCCAAATCAGCGATAAAATCATCACGTCTACGTTTCATCACTGCCTGAAATTGAAAAGTGTTTGTGTCAAATTATGATTGTTCATATTATACTTAAATGTGAAAATATAACATATCTACCTATCAGTTTGTTTTGTTGCTAAACATTGGAACCGATCTCGTGAAATTTGGCACAGAGACGCCTTGCCTTTGGGAAACGAACTTAGTCTACTTATTCTTAACCTGAAATCTGTTTGCTGTTTCTACGATATATTGATATATGTTCGGAAACCATCCGATTTATATTGGCATAAATACATAATATATTGTATATATGTTATCTTAAGTAGGCTATAAATATTTGATAATATTTGAGTCATTTAAGATATTTTATATCTTAAGAAAACAACAAGCTTTTAACTATTATTTTTCTTGCATCAAATTCTAAGGGTTTATTATGACACGATAAAAATCACTCCATTTATTTCTATTTAATTTATTGGTAACAGTATATATAAATAAAATTGGAGTGTCCATCTATGATTTCAAAATAGTTACCTCATATTGAGGTTTTCTGGATATTTGTATAATAGCGAAACCTGAACAAACGTTTAAAAGTTTTTATCTGATAGTTTGTTTGCATACTTATCATTAAAGTGGCTAAGCTAATTTTAAATAAACTTTAATTAGCGGGTAAAGGGCTGTAGGGAGAGTGAAATACGCAACTTTTTATCTACGTACAGAATACCGATTCCGTGAGATAAGGACCAAAGAAAAAGGGCTGATCGAAAAAAAATTACTCGCAGGAAAGTTTAAGGAAGAGAATAAGTTTATTATTTAATAAGAATTAGTTTATTTGTTTAATAATTGATTATCCTTTTATTAATAAACTAGCATTGCCTGCGGCTCCGCCCGCGTTCAGATGACCAAAAACCAAATTCTTAGGTTATGATTCATCATGACACCTGCAACAATTTTGTCAGTCGCATCATTTTCAATTTCTCATCACGTAAAGGGCACAATCAAAAAAGGAGTCCAATTCTATTTATAGTGAATACAAAGTTAGAAAAAATATCAACATTTGCAAGTACATACAACAATTTTATCTTTGTTATCAGTATTTGATAAAAAGAGGATGTGGAACACTTAAATTTAGGTCGCCCTTTCTCATAGCAGATGTAAAAACTATGAATATTGCAGGAAAATAACGTATTGTAAAATATACAAAAATAACAGATATATTATATCTTCTAAATGGTGAATGTGAGAGGGAAAAATATTAATCCTTTCTTCCTTTGCCATGGCAACTACCTATACCTATCGAAAAACACTAAAAACATGCCCAAGCGGGAATCTAACCTGTGACTACTTATGAGAAATTTTTGTCTAAGCTACTTGACTACAACACTGTGGGTGACATAACAGAACGTTGATATAGTCATTTACAAGATATTATATTGTTATCGGGGTGATAGAATTACTTTGAATATATGTATAAATTTATATTGCAAAGCAATATTCTACAACTATACCGACAGAAATAATCTAAACTGAAATTGAATTGAATATTTTATAATATTTATCATTATTAATAAAAATAAAATATATAATTATAATTATTTATATTACATTAAAAACAAGCTACAAAATTTACTTTGATGAAGTCATACAAAGTACCTTAATATTGCCTATATATTGGTATGATAAATTATTATATATATACCTTTTGATTTCATAGTCCAAGAACCAAATATTAGTCACTTTCAAAGTCTTCGTCGCTTCACTTTACTATTTATTTTTAGTTTCACTAAAATCTGTTCATAAAACAATGTTTTCGAACGTGTGTCTTCACCGGAAAGATAACTTTGTATGAGCCGAATTAAATACATGACGTGTTATCAATGATAATGATAAGCTATATGAGACTACAGGTGTGGTAATTGTTCACTAGTGTTGACCATTATATAGCTATTAGTAAAATATTTATAATATTTTTTGATCTACATTATATCTTGTTACTATATAAATGCGAAAGTTTGTTACTGTTTCACGCCAGAACGGCTGAACGGATTTGGATGAAATTTTTCGTACAGAAATAGATTATAGTCTGGAATAGCACATCCGTTACTTTCTATCCCGGAAAAATACACGGCTTTCGTGGGACAGATTTGTTTTGTTTTTCGCTAGGGACGAACCCGAATGAAGTGAGGGTGAGCCGGTAGTCTATACTAATATTATAAAGAGGTAAAGTTTGTGAATTGTGAGTTTGTCAGTTTGTGACGTTGTAGGGGGTAATCTCTGGATCTACTGAACCGATTTAGATGAAATTTGGTAAGAAGATACTTTGAGACCCTGGACATCACATAGGATAGTTTTTATCCCGGAAATCATTCCTTAAAGAGACGAAAATGGGGATGTAAGTTTGTATGGCGAACCAATTATTTCTTGAGTAAGGGATATAAAATTCATCATACCTATGTATATGTACTAATATATAGTCTATCTATTCCATACTAACAATTAAAACGTTAGGTACGTTTTGATGACGAAGCGAAAGCGAAAGTGAGCGAAGCGAGGGTGTGTCGCTAGTAAATTATATAAACGTAACTGAAGAAAGTTGTTTAAAAATTTAACGAATCTGTGATTAAATTTATATGAGTCCACACTTAATAAATATAATGAGCAAGTAAATATTATAATAGAAAATTATTTAATATTATGTGATTTATGAGTCATAAACTTTATACCTATTTTGAATAGATCCGCTGTAAATTTCATTGTAAATAAAAATTAACCCTATTTATAAAATAATCAGACAATAATGATGGCTTAGATATTTATTCTTTACTAGCAGAACCCGCGGATTTGTTCGCGTTAAAACTACAAAAAAATCACTAAATTGGTAGGTTTCATACTAACTTTCATCTACTTTTTTACCCTCTTATGGGATGAATTTCGGAAAATGCTAAAACACTTTAATTAATTGTATTGAAGAGCATTTATACCAGGTTTCAAATAATTCTAATTATATTTTTTTGGATTGGGAAAGAGATAATTTCCCGCGGTAAAAAGTAGCCTATGTCACTCTCCAGCCTTCCAACTATCTCCACACAAAAAAACACGCCAATTCGCCAAGCCGTTTCGACGTGTAAGAAAGACAAACAAACAAACACACTTTCAGATTTATAATATTAGTATGGATTACTTATTGTTATTAATATGGCAACAAGGTCCTGCAGCGACACATTTCAAAAGTTTGTATTAGTGTTTATACAATAAAATAAGTAATAATATTTTTAAGCCACTAAAAAAGATACTGTCCCTTGCTAATTGCTATTGCTCTATCTATTCACGTAACTGCCTCGGTGGTGTAGTGGCTAGCATGTACGGCTGCACACCCGGAGGTCCTGGGTTCAAGTCCCGGGTCGGGCCAAGTTTACTTATTGAGTCTTTCTGTATAGTAAGTCTCAGTAACAGCCCGGAGTTGGGAAGTTGGCGGTGTTTCACCCCCGTGCCTCGGAGAGCACGTAAAGCCGTCGGTCCAGCGCCTTAACTCTCACCGGTCGTGTCAAGTGGTCGTCCCACCGGAGTATGAGAGTGATAGGAATAGAGAGTGCACCTGTGTCTGCGCGTACACTGGTACACTATAATATCTCCTGCGCAGTTGGCTAATCTCAATGAGATTGGCCGTCGTAGCCGAAATCGGCTAGGAGAACATCATCAATTCACGTAACTGCTTATTTCTTTCTTCTTACAATACTATTATTTGTTTCATCAATTATTATTTAAAGGCAATAGGCATACAATGTATAGTTTCAGCATAAATCTGTGAGCTTAAATAGCTTCCAATTACACGTTCTAGTATATATCTAGCAGATCAGTGCTTTTGGGTGTCATCTTCACTTGGTTTGATTCGTCAATAACATGAAAAATTCGCGGGCGAGCCGTAACAAAAAATGTTATTTATATTAGAAAAATATATACACTCGTTCCAAACAAAACTAGATCCTAAAACTCGACACCACAGCTGTCCGATTGAGTGGGGAGTAAGATTTTTTGGTCCAAACGACCGTTCTCGATCGTAGTTAGTTCCAATTTGAACCACTACATGATCATGCGCTGATATCAATTTCAAGAGTACGAATCCTAACAAAATCGAGTCAAACTCGATTGATTCAGAACTAGAAGCTATCGGGAGCTTTTTACGCCAGCTGATTAATATTGAAATCTGTTGAGACGTCTAAAACCTTAGTCTCTCCCGAGACCATGTTTGCTGAAGCATTCGAAACGTAGTAACAAAAATATAAAATAAAACCGCGACAAAATCCGAAAAGATAGTTTTATTTAAAACGACTAAATAATGATAATAAAAATATAAATAAAAGACTATCAGATATTTTTAATGTTAGTTCAAAAGTGACATCTAGCGGATATTAATTAAATTACAATATAGACAAATTCTGCTTTTTATAACTTATGGTATTTTTAACAACGAGATATAGATGGCAGCAGGAGTTGCAAGACGTATATTTACTGAATACTTATAATAATTACTATTACCACAGATGACATAATACTATACTATATAATACTATACTATATGTATATTGCATTAATATAATATTATCACTGTATTATGATTGTGTGAAATACTTAATGTATTTATTAATAGAAATATTCTGAAATTAGATATTATTAGATTTTTTCAACACTAGCGACTTTCCCTCGCTTCTCTCGGGTTCGTCCCTAGCTTGGTTCCCAATACAAGCTTTCATCCCTATTTTCATCCCCTTAAGGGATGATTTCCGGGATAAAAAGTTCTTACCAAATTTCATCTAAATCGGTTCAGTAGATCCAGAGATTACCCCCTACAACGTCACAAACTCAAAAACTTCACCTATTTATGATATTAGTATAGATTAGACAGCTACATTTTATAATTAAAACACTGAAATTTACAGTTGTAGTTATTTATTTAGAATAGATTCAAATTTAAAACTATAAGTACCTAAATAAAATTAAAATGTAATAAAATATACGACTTAATTTTTAACTTACGAGTAAAAACTAAGCACTATAGTTACTAATTAAAAAATAAATAATAAAAAACATAAAATAAACACTAAATAAAAAACTATAAGTACTAATTAAAAACAAAGTAAATTGTCATAGTGTTCTACCCTGGTTATGTTTAAACAAAAAAGTGTAAAAATATGTAAAAAATATTTAAAACGCACTACAATTTATAAAAAATAAATAATGTTCATTATATTAATATTAAATATTTCATGAAAAACGTGACGCATAAAATTTTAAATGAAAAACTTATTTTGTACCTTTTGGCCCTCAAGAAATAGTTAGGTCGACTTTTGAAAATTTAAATTCATTTCAAACCCTTCTGGTTGCTCACAATTCAAAAAATCAGGCTAATTTTACAATTTTGATTTTAGAGTTTGTAATTAAATATTATTTAAACTAGCAGACCCGGCCACGCATTGCTGTGGTACAAATATGAAAAATCTTTAATTTTTCAATAAAAGAAGGAAATAATCGGGATAAAAAATATCCTATCATTTAAGTCGGAACAAATAAAACATTTTGAAAAAAATACGTTAAGATCGGATAAGCAGTTTCGGAGTTCATCGCGGACCAACATCGTGACACAGGAATTTTATAGATTAAGATATAAACGAACGATTCAATTATTTACACTTTAAAGTTAATTTAAATCATGCTATGTTAATTTAAATATGCTACCTAAAGTAGATTTTTGATAGAATTTGTGTATTATCATATATGTTAAAACATATTATATTACATAATACTTCGAACTGGGTCTTTGCCCACAGGAGAAATATTTTTACTTTCTTTCAACCATCTATCTATCTTTTTATTTTATTTAAAGGCTAAATTAATTTTACAAGTATAAGTATATGTAAATTAATTTATACGAATTTCTACAGTTCGTCTGACTGATCGTCTGTCACCTAGCCTGGGTCTAGACTCAGTTAAGTCCCCAATAGACCTTGATCTTCGACTATTTTCCCTTTGATTTTCTTGTGCATCGACAAAGTCAGGTAACGAATGGAAGGAGTCATTCAGTCTGGGCATTAAAAGAGCTTCGTCATAGCTTGGAGGTAAATCTTCTCTTATCGGAACTCTCAATACAACTGATTCAGCTCTCGATTGTGTTGTGTTCAACACAGTAGTTTCTGATGTAGGTTGAGGTGCCTCAGACTTGTTCATGACTATTATAATTCGACATACCATCGATGTCAGTATAACGCCTATGATCACACCAATCATGACAGCTGTTATAGTATAGGATGAAGTTGATCCTTCATCGGCATGCCATGTCCGTATGTACGCCTGTTGCCAGCTCATTAGGGTGACATTTTCCGGAGAGTAACATATTAGTGAGTTATCAGAAACTTTTGCAGGATCCTTTGTCAAAAATTCATAAGTAAGAAGTAAGTTAACGCTAAAACCTTCGCAACTCCATCGATTACCCTTCACTTGAACTTCCCTCAAAAATGGATTCGAGGCGAAGTATGAAGTCGACCATACTTCCTTAAAGTCATTCCCTCTCAGATCCAGTACCGCTAAGTGCGGTAACGACGAAAAGGTAGCGTCAGTGAGCTTGTCAATTGTGTTGTAACTGAGATCTAATTCTTGTAACGAATTCGATGTCAAATTGTCGGGAATAGATTCAATTTCATTCATTGATAAATCTAGTTCAAGCAAGGATTGCATTCCATTTAATGAATTTACGCCAATACTGCTTATTTGGCATTTACTTAAATGTAGATTTTTTAATGAGGCAGACTGAAAATTAGGGACTTCAGAAAAGAAATTTAGAGATAAAATTAAAACTTCTAGTCTGGTTGCTTTTGAAAATATTTCTGTTGGCAGACTATTTAAACGGTTTTCAGATAAATCAAGTATTGCTAGTCGTGGCATTTTAACGAATGCATCTTGGTCAATGAGATATATTTTATTTCGTGACAAATCTAATTTTAAAATATTGGATGTATGTTCAAATGCAAGCCATGTGTGGTAGTTATTATCTGATAGATGAAGGATTTTTAGATGTTGCCATAATTGTATATAGGTAGGTACCGTCCCGTTTAAATGATTTCCAGAAATATCCAATTTTTCAATTTGTCGAAAATCTGCTAGCTGTGGTGGGAAGCTGACGAAGTTGTTATTTACCAAGAGCAATACTTGAGCCTGAAAATTAAAAATATTTAATTAGTGAAGAGCGAAGAGAAGATAAAATGAAAGCAAATCTGATGTGACATATTTTAGTCTGATATTTTAAAAACAAATAGAAGTGTTGGAAGTCGTCACCTAACTAGCAGTGTAGCAATACTGGCGAAACACGAACAATTTAGTAAAGACATTTATCTTTCACACTGATTGTTGGCAAGTAATTGCAACAGAAATTGTGAAAGATTCAAAAGAAAAAAAAACTAGATTAGTGGATTTTAAAGAAATCTCTCATGCTCAAACTAAGCATTTCAAGCAAACAAGATTTCTTTATAATCCAATAATATAATGAACCTAGTTTAATTTGAGCTTCTTAAAATATTTTTTCTTATATTTAAGAGCTCCTTCTCTTTCGTCCATCTAAGCCTAATTTTTAAAAATATAGGACGTACCTATTAAATTATAGAATCTATTTGTTCTATTATTAAGTTTTTTTAATAATAGCCATCAATAGCAAGTCGATACGTCATTTTAATTTAACATTTTGTAATTTTTCTTTCTTTACAATGACAATTTCTTACATTATAATCGAGTCCGTTAGGTAATTCGGTGAGTCCTCTATTTGAACAATCTACATGGAGAAGCTCATCATGGATGTAAGTACTGCAAGGTTCTTCCTGTTCTTCTTCAAGCTGTCGCAGAACACCTGCCGTTACTGTGACAGACAGCAGCCAAAACTGCAGTAACGTATTAATTAGACCTAAAAGAAGAGATTCAATATTATAAAAAACGAGAGGTGTCGTGGGAAACCCTGTAGAAAAGAAATTATTTTCGCTGTCTGCCTTTGAGTCATAAATTAAGTCGTAAAAAATGACATGAGTACTAGGGTACCATAAATATCAATTAATGCACTTTGAAAATAAACATTAAACCCCATTAGTAAAAAGTCTAACTGCCACATTCTACATACAGTAGGCGATCACCTAGCGATTTTAAAGTAAGGGATGTTAAAAATAACAATTTTCATGGCGAACGGTCTCAGAGCCATGGCGCTGTAGTGCCATCTTGTGGGAAGTTACAATCATACTCGTCAACCCTAAAGCCATTTCCCAGCTATCAAATAAAAGTAAGTATGACAGTCGGCATCGCGTCGTTGGATGTATGGATTAGTATACTGTGTTATAGGTTTTCAATTAAATTAAGTTGCTTTGTAACTACTTGCTGCAATGTGACGCCCCACTTGATGTATCAAGATAAAATGTAGCCTATCACTTACTCCCCAAATCTATAAGTAACCGTATGTAAAAATTTACGTCGATCCGTTGATGTGTGGAAGAAGGTCAAACCAGTAAAGCAAACGTTGACTTGATAATGAGTATAGGGCTAATACTTTGATAGTGAAATTATGAGAATATAAATATTTTCTAATTGCACCGATAAATATGGGCTGTGGAGGTTAAATATCGAAGATGAGATAATGTGTGTATGTTGTAAATTTTTATTTACAGTAAATTTATTTGATTCTAATTAATTCTTAAACATATTTTTCATTAAATATACTCTAAAACGAAATAAGTAGGTATATTACATAATATGTGCATACTTCTAGTAACTTATCATGTAGCCTTAAATTGTTTTTTTTCTGTTTACAATCGGAATAAATAAAGCAGAAAACGCTAATTCCAGTTATGTTAGGACTGTAACTAATATTGCATTTAAAGTAATCCTAAAGGCAATTGTTATAACTTTAAAAATAAAACTAAGTAATCAATCAAATAAAAAAAAACAATGTATTACCCAATATTTAATCATTATGGTAAAAACCAGAAAACCGCGACTAACATGATTTCTAGGAACAATCTCGTAGATATGTTTTTGAGACGTAACATGTGGTTTTGTCGCTCAAGTTCCCTGGAACGACTGAACGATACGATAACGATCGCGTGCAGGAAGAGAGGTCAAGAGTAGGTTTACATTTTAAGAAAATATTACGGTAATTTTTTTTTTTAAATGGCAAATATAATAATATTTTTATGAATTTAACTAAAACATCTAACGGTACGAAATTACATGAAATAAGTCCAAATTATTAGAGCAATAAAGAAAGAATAAGGAAATGGATAAATTAAACTTCATACAGATTTAAAATGGTTTTCCATAACACTAGTGATAAGGATAGTAATGGCAGTGACATTTGAATATAAAAGTAATTTTATTCTTATTTAAATACACTGATGTTTTTCCACGATAAGAATCATCTAACTACGTATATTTAGGGCAATTGGCAATTCTTCAATCTTCCAAAATGTAGTTACTTATTTTTTTACTATGATGTATTCAGCCCTTATTAACGTCCCACTGCTGGGCACGGTCCTCCCTTAAATACGAGGGGGATCAGGCCGTAATCCACCACACGGACTTCACATGTCTTTCGAGATGACTTTACTATGATACATGTCGCGAAATTAAAGTCGACCACATATTTACTTTGTATCAACAAATAACGTTCTTCTGACGGATAATCGTCATGGTAGTCAATTTAAATTTCCGCAGGATATATTGTAATTTATAATGCATAAGTGTGTGTGAACACAAGTGCATTTTTTATTCCTTTTACTCTCAAAGTCTAGTGAGACAATAATATGACACGACCGGTAGGTATGAGTTTTTTTACTTTTTTTTTACTTTTATTATATACGCTTTTGCATACTCTCCGAGGCACAAGGATACAACACCGACAACTCCTGTTACTGAGGTTTTCGTAACAGAAAAACTTAATAACTATACTCGGTCTGGCTGAGAATTTGAACCCGGGATCACCAGATCCGCAGCCGTACAGGCAAAATTAAATTATTATAGAATTATACAAAAATATGTAAATTATATAAATACAAATAAATAAGGAATTAATGTTACTACCATTTGAACAATAACTACTCGATTTTTTTTTATCCGAGAATATGACTTACATTTTACTTTAGCATATTTTGTAAATAAGCATGAAGTACACATACAACATGTTTAGATATGTTTCATATATAAAATATTGCTTACTACCTTATAGATATTCGTGGGAATAAATCATGTACATCACGTTCTTTAACTCGATTAGATAATGAAGTCACGGTAGTTAAACAAATTTAGTCTGTGCAGATTATTCATACAACAAACATGTGCTACGATTTGATTTTAGTTAAATATATAAAAAACTTATTTTTATTCTAAACTTAAAATAAGTAGTATAATATACAAATATAGAGTAAAATTATTTTAAGTGAATGTATGAATGTAAGTCGTTAACAGATTAAATGATTAACAATACTTACCCATTAGCTTTATTTGTGTCACGTCATATTACGTTCTTTATCTCGCACTCAAACTTCGAAATTTTTGATAACCACTGTATTTGTATGATTATTAAATATATTTTAGACATTTATGGTCACAGCTCAGTGCACATGTGTCCGCTTAATTTTGTATTGGATGACATACATGTAGACGTGAGCGGATGGGCACCACCGCCCGTGAATAGCGCTGGATACAGGCTGTTTTTTGTTTGCAACAACGCAACGATAACGTAGATAAAATATTAAAAAAAAAATTATTTGCAAATAATGTTTCAATATGACCTATAAATGAGTCATGATACAGTGCCTATTGATAAATATTTCTTAAAAGACATAGAGATTAAAAAAAAACTACTACAAAATATTTTTGACACATAATTTCTTGATTAAATTATTTTACAATTAATGCTATCGAGTGCAGCGTAAAGTTATTAACTCTATTGAATACAGCGCCATCTATTTCACTCGCTCAGTTGCGACTCGACAGATATTAATAAAATTTTTCATGTTAATAAAAAGTTTTATTTCAATCATTCTAATATTATCAAATATCATTGATTTAAGGGAATGACTTTAAATAATTTATGGGTTAATTTGATTCGAATTTAGATCTCTTTTCCACTTGTTTTATCTAGACATATAAATATAATAATTACATTATAAAAATAAAAAAAACCAACTAAAAACCGCGTAAAAACCAAACTACAAAGATGAAAACAAGTTGTAGAAATTACATAGCAGTATGCAGTCTGAGACATATATAATACATCACTAAATAGTTTGCAGGAAAAATATTCTATATATACAAATCGGTGTCTGAAATCCGACATTTTGATTTTCAATAATATCCGTAGGGCCTATAACACTCGCGTTATTAAATATCGCGTAATCATTTTAGCCGCAAACACATAAACCTCCTAGGGCTTTGCCGGAGTCGGCAATATATGTAGTAAGAAAGTGAAATCTGGACATTAATTGTATTTTAAAAACAACTACTGTTACGTATTGTGTACAGACCCTAACACAATAGTTTTATGGTCTTCTTCTCCTGAAATGTTTGCCTGTTTGTATATCTGTGTTCATTCCAGGCAAAAAGGACGGAGTGGATTTTAATTTTTTCAATTATTTATTACACTAAAACAAATAATTAGTAGCAGAGTTATGATTAACATATTTAACAATTTGGTGCGGTAAAATCTCTCATTTTTTTGTAAAAATGCACAATTTTGTTTGACTGCGAGTGCATACATACATAACAACAACATCGCTGTTGGCCTCTGTGCTTTAGAAGAAGTAAGTAAAAACATTCCACTCACTTTTTCTAAGCGACGCAACGGATTTTGGTACAGTTTTTACTAATAGAATTAATTTAAAAAGTTGTAGGACCTAAAAGGTATACAGAAAAGTATATGTGTATCTCCTTTTTTTCTTTTCCACGTTGGGAAATGCATTTAGACATACTACCTCCGTACATACAGGTGGTTATGTGGGACTCCCACTAAAATCCAACGGAAACTTCCCCGTCTTAGAATCGCTTACACACTCCACTACGACGCCCCGACGGCAGATCTGACGAAACAGACCACAACGACCATGAGGTTGCTCCAACAGTCCACTCAGCTATCAGAGAAGTACCAGGAGCAACCCGCATGGCAGACCACCAATCGTCGCTAATGAGACACCTCTCTCCTCCCATGCCCTCACCACAAAAAGGAGTACGCACATTCGGGGGGGTGTATATAGGTATCTCCTAAGGTACCTTAGTACATTCACAATGACTATTTTTATCTTTTTAAAACGTACCTATTCTACCTAGGACGCACCCGAGCGAAGCGAAGGCAAGTCGCTAGTTAAAATAAGGTAAATATTTTGAGCATTACTGACAGTAGTCAGATATATTTTTATATTTTAAAACAGCCTGTATAAAGATAATGTTATCTAAACTTGCTTATCTCTGATTAGGTACGTATTGACTTATCGTTTTACCTAAAGAAATAACAAATTTTCATTGCGGTTAAAAAACTATTTAAGCGACATTTAGAAACTGTTTTCAAAGATTTAGTAAGATAATTTTATAGAGCTACTTATCCATCCATCCAAGATAATTTCATATATCAATGAATTAATAAAAAAGTAACAACAACAAAATTAATGATAAAAATTTTAATGATCAATATTATGTATACATTACTAAAAACTTTATTAGAGGCATTAGCAAAAAAAAACCGAACTCTTTATAATCCAATGAAAAATGAAAGATTCATTTTTACTGTTAGGAATTTCTAATAGATTTGATATTTATATAAGTTATATAATACTTATTTAATATAGTTCAAAGTTAATACAAATCTGTCGTCACGTGTTTCATCTCACCTCAAATCCTGAGTGCTTCAGGATTACAATCAGGCGTCGAGTGCAAAAACGCGACACGTTCGCGTAACGCCTGTCTGAACTCATTTGTGACCTGTTTCCCCTCTAAAGGTAAGCTTCATCGATGGAAAATCACTAAAATTCCTTTGAATTTTGCAACTAATTTTAAAAATATTTATACTACATTTTGTAGGCATGTAGATCAAATATAAAGATGTGAAAAAAAATGAAATGATGCAAAGGCCTATATATTATGGCATATCATACCATTTTTATATAGTGAAAGGAGTTTAATATAGCATTATGGAATGAATTACCTCAGAAATTCTGACTTGTTTTGATTTGTCCGACCCAAACTAAATTCTGTAGCTTCTATGATTATGGATATCGCAAATGTTTTCTAAATTAATATAAAGATGATAAATAAGGTATCGAGCACATTAAAATACCTGCAAAAGTCCATTTGTTTATTTTTCTGAATGACAAAAAACAACTAAATAAAACTAGGTCAACATATTTTCAACCATTAGTTACGTAAAACGATTTAGTGGTTAGCCATAATGAGGAACTATAACAAACATATTATTATACATATTTACAAACTTAAGGTTCTATACAAACAATATCAGAAGGACGGTATAAATACGAAGCATCCCAACTATAATATAAATAAAATGTTTCATAAATAGTAAAAATTTTCAAATTTTCTTCTTGGTTCGGTTGCAGTGGGCTCAATAAATAAGGATACAGCCCATTAGAGACGGTCCAGCAAATCTTTGGACGCCGAACGCCACTTACTTAGACTTAAACTGTTCCCGAGAGCTATTTGCCACAGATTTAGGATTGCCGACATTTTAAGATATAAAACTTGTAAAGAAAATAAATTTGTAGCTTTAAAACAGCCGTAATTACGATGTATTGTAGATTCATTCAAAATTGCTTAGAAATATATTTTCTAAAAGTAGTCATAGAACTATAGGTACTACCTATTACAATAGATGCATCTATACTCTACAATGTCAAAAAAATGTCAAAATTCAAATACTAGTATATCTATCATAATTTAATAAGAAGTCGCAATTTATCGTTCTTTTGTCTCCTGAGTTTATTATTAGATACTACAAAATTATCTATACAGATAAATAAAATTGAAGTGTTTGTTTGTAATGTCAAAATAACAACGTTTTATTAAATGCGTATGAAATTATATACGGTATTTATAAGAAAAACACTTTTTTTTTTTATTTTTGTCTGTCTGTCTGTTTGTTTGTTCCGGATAATCTCTGAAACGGCTGGACTAAATTTGACGGCACTTTCACTGGAAGATAGCTGATGTTATAGGGAGTAACATAGGCTACTTTTATTGTAGAAAAAGAATTAGGGTTCCGCTCAAAAAAATTAAAACGTAGCTAAATTAAAACGCTAGTTTAATATATAATGTGAAGTATTCTATCAAAATAAACTAGTTGTTATATTGCATAGACAAAGCTATAATCAAATATTTATAACTGAAGAAGATAATGTAAAGTCCAAAACGTTCTGAAACAATATACAAAACAATAAAACTTTCGTCTTACTTCAATTGGACCGGGAATTAAGTCCAGCAGATCAATTGCTGACCCTACCATATCTTAATACCCAGATCACAGAAATATAATACGGGACGTATTTATTTGTGCTCACTAAGGATTTGCCCTTCATATGTTAAGATGTTTGACCCTTGAAACGAGATGAGGGTAATTTGCTGTATTGACTCCTCAATATCCTTTTTGCTATTAGACTTGAATACATAAATAGAGATCAGAACTCTTTATATTTTATGAATAAAATTGTATATTAAATCAATACTTATTTAACGGAGATTATTAATACATATTTAACGGAGATCGCAGCTTCCATTTTCAAAGAGATTGTTTTAAATATTTCATAGTCAATTTTTAATTTACTTTAAAATCTACAAAATCACCACTAAGCCTAAATTTTCATATCGGTTGAAAGTATAAAAAATATTAAGTTGTTACAATATTCACTGTACTAAAAAATCCAAGGATGAACTAGAGCAAGTATAACGAACTGGTAAAATAAGAAAAATAAATATTTTTTGGTCAATAGCAATATGACATGTTGAAATATTATAGAATGATAAAAATAAGAAACTTGAATTCAACTTAATCAAAGTGTATTTAGAAGCTTTTAGCTAAAAAGTAAAAATGACCTCAAAATGTCTTTAAAAGTGACTGAACTGAGACATCACCTATCATTTAATAAAATAATTGTACAGATCAGTTCTTAACTAGCGAACATATTGTTTATGTTGTATGACAAATATAATTTTTAATTTATTAAAATTAACCAAATATACCTAAGTTTCAAATCAAATATGGATACCTATTTATTATTAGCAGTACTATTTCGAATCTACTTTGTCTCCATCTCAACCCGCTCTTCGATCGCTCATGGTTTCAAATGTCAATCCTTTTACATTAGAGAACTTTATCGAATTTTCATATCGATAAGATTTATTTAATACCCTGAGATATATTATTTTTTCATTTTACGTTTGTTTATAATGTATGTTTATAGTATACTGTGTCATTAAAAAAACGAGATTCG